CAATTCAGCTGTGTCACCGAGAATCTGCACTTTGCCCGCAGTTCGATAGACCCGGTTCCGCTGGTCGAGGCAACCCCTCTGGATAAAATTTGTTGAGCAAACCATGGCACAAGCAGACAATGCCTTACTTGTACGTGGATCGTTTCAGGTACGTAGTGTCATGCACCTGCCACAGGAGTTCATTGCCGCTGTGAAGTGGCTGGAAAACAAAGGCTGCAGCGGCATCACGGGTGATGCTTTGACCCACAAATGTCTTGTAAGTCCTTGTAACATAGCTGCAGTTGCATTGCGTGTGGGTCTGTGTGTGTGCGCGGGTGCGCGCACGCATGTGTGCGTGTGTGTGTGTGCGCGCGCGCGTGTGTGTGTGTGTGTGTGTGTGTGTGTGTGTGTGTGTGTGTGTGTGTGTGTGTGTGTGTGTCCAACTCTGTTTCCAAGAGACGTGAGTGAGTTAGACAGCAGGGGGCGTGGCAGTCGCATCCTAGCCACGCCAATGAAGCTATGGATGTTGACTGGATGGGCTCACAGACGTGTGAACCTGTACCTGCATAAAGCTGCTCATGGGTCACGCTTGTGGCAGCTTGAGAGCTTAGCGTATCTGTGAATGCGACAGTCATGAGTGAGGGCTTGCATTGGTCACTTTCTTGCTCAGTTCTTGTTCAAGAGTTTGTCTGTTAATGCGACAGTCATGAGTGAGGGTCTGCATATGTCAGTCTTACATGAGTGATTTGTGTTTGTTCTATGGCAGTACTTCAGATCGCACGTTCTGACTTCTCCTGACAGCTTTCAGCAATATGCGCTGATTGACCAGACTTGCGACACGATGTGTCAAGTGTGCTTCACAACGGCATTCCCTATGGGCGCCGTGTCTCCCAGAGGTAGCTCTGGCGCTGACTTTCCCGACTGATTGAATAAGCATTGGATGACTTCCTTTGACTTCATATCCATGCTTGCATGCTGACTCTTTCAGTGAGTTTTTCCCAAATGCGTTTTCCGAAACTGAATGCTGATTCTCTCATCGACTTTGTTATGATCTGGTTGAATCCCCCGAACTGACTTTACCGGTGACTTGTCGCAGGTCTTCGGCTGCAAGTTGAGTACATGAGCTGTACTTTTGGTAGTTGCTGATCAATTTGCCATGGATACTTCAGACAAAGGACGCAGTACCGGGACATCTCTTCCCCCTCTTCCTCCCCCGCCTCTCCCTCCACCCTCCTCCTCTCCCCTCCCTCCTTTGCCCCCCCCTCCCCTCCCCACTGCTGCCCAGCCCTCCTCTCGTGGCACCACAGCGAAGTGGATTCCACCCCCCCCTCCCCTTCCCCCTCCCGCTTTCCCTCCCACTCCTGCAGTTTGCCCGACGCCATCTTCGTCATCTTTGCCGATCTCTTCTGCATGCAATGTTGGATTGGGAACAGCAGATGTAGCTCCTACCTCTGCAGCCGTACGTGCTGTAAGTGATCGACCTGTTCCACAGCAAGATGTTCCACCAGCCATCAGTCTTCATGCAGATGGCTCAGGTTTCCGTCTGTCGTTTCGTTCGGTGGCCGATTTTGCTGAATATTCAGCAATTATGTCGGCAAACTTGACTCATGTCCGAGGTCACAGAGATGTGTATGCCGGTCTCAACAATTTGCTCGACATACAGCAGACTGTTGTTTCGCAACAAAGTCATGCAGCAACTTCTGGTCAGAGCCAGCAGTCAGACCTCACAGTCCAGACGGATGATTCCTCCCAGCCCTCAAAACGACTTCGGCAAGTCCATGGAAGCGGAGTTTCTCTTGTTGCAGATCCTAACAGCATCCGACTTCGTGCGATTTGCGATAACATTCCTGGTACTTATGCTGATCGTGTAGGGTGGCAGCTCAGTGCGGACCAGACTTACGTCTTTCGGGTTAAACCCTTGCAAGAATCTTATGAGCATCTTGGGAATCGATCTCTTCTCAGAGGGCATGTGGAAGTGGAGTGGGAACAAGATTCAAACTTCTTCGTGATTCCTGAACTTCGTGGGTTGGAAGTGCGTGATGAAGAAGCGAAGCTGATTCAAGTGTATTCAGCCAACTTCAATTGGGTCGCATTATACCTCATGTTTACTACCCTACGTCACTTGATCAGTTCCAGCCCTGGCCGTATGAAGTCGGCATGTGAGATTTCGAGAAAGATACAGGCCAATCTTGAGTTGCAAGTTCCCAGCTCCTTGATGCAAAGCACTGCGGACTATCTGATGAGCCTGTTCCTGCAGTTACATTCGTGATGTTGCCCGTGCCAAAGATGGCAGATGGGTCTTTCGCTCCTCATGTTTCATCCCGGAAGCACTTCTTGTCTTTTGGAAGGTCTGAGTTCCGTAAGTTGCCTTGACCAACCATGTTCTCAAGCGTCTTCCATTGCCAACTGCGATCTGTGCACACATGTATAAAAACATGCCAGTTCGGATCGAGAGGTGTGCCAGCAAGGGATATGCAAGTGTTGTGCAAGTGAAGCCTCAGAAGCAGTGCAAGGGTGTGCGACAGATGTGCAAGAGATGAGCAAGTGCTGTGCAAGGGTCGTGCAAGATTGACGCAAGTGCTGCAGTTTGAGATTTCGTTGAGCATGTTTGTTCTTCTATGGAGCTCTTTGATTCGAAGTGTCTTTAGCGTTCCCTTGGACTTAGCTTTGTCTCTAGTTCGGAAACCATGGCATGGAATGGACAGTGGAACTCCAGCACAGGATACGGGAGATCCCAACAACCGTGGGGTCAACATCGCTTTCAGCCGTACAGCTCGGGCAGTTGGAATGATCCCAACTTCCCCAAGTCTGCTCTTGCTAGTCAGCCGCCTCCCCTACCTCCACCTCCACTTGCCTCGGGACCTTCATCTTCGCCGTCCACTCCCATGCCACTTCATCAAGGTCCTGTTCTTGTACCTGCGCTACCGAATGGATGGACGTCAGATCGTGATCATTATGACTCAACTGCACTTCATGGTCTGTCATTTCGTAAGTGCATTGAAGCCACCCCGTGGTCGCGAAAGAAAGGAATCGCAGGGAAAGATCCACTTTGCATTCCTGTTCAGGAATTCCTGTTCCATGGAGTTTCAGATTGGCGTCTGAGAGCATTAAGCCATGGCAAGTTCTTCAGTGTTGTGCCAGTTGCCTCAGTTGCCGAAGCGGTGTTCGTGTCGCAAGTGACCAAAAGCCTTCGAGATCGCAAGGTTGACATCGATGCAGTTGCTACACAACTTTTTCAGACCGCCAATCCGTCCACAATGGTTCCCAGCAAGACCACAGATTCCGCCATCCTGTTTCAGCCGTTGATTGACAAGATCGTTCAGCTCATGTTTGACAACATGCCGGTGTCCACAGGCGTTGACCAATCCCAGAAGTTCCTTCAAATTTCGGAAGAGCTTAACCGCCGCCGTGAACAGTTGCAAGCCGCAGGACTTCCTGTTACCCCTACGAAACCCACTTCGAAAGCACAGCTCCCGGTTGCTTCACAATCCAGTGCTCCTGGTCCACAATCCGGGACGCCACCGAAGACTTGGGAGACTGACCTCAAGAACAAGATCGACAGTGTTCCTGCAGAAGCCTTGAATGATCACAAAGCACGGTTAAAAGGATCAGGAGAGGGTGACGTTGACAAGTGGATCCAGAGTTTCAAACGCCCCCTAGGCAAGCGCTTTGCAGAATTTCAAGAGCACATTGTTTCTGTCTCCAAGCTTGTGCAGATCAACTATGGAGGCAAGGAAAAAGCCAAACTGCAAGAACTTGCAGTCAAATTCGGGATCTCGGCGACGTTTGCATCTAGGATGGGTATCAAGAGTCTTTCTACGTGCATCGCAGCGGCAGCATTTCAAGTTGTCTGAATTGCACACAGCCTTGCTTCCAATGAATTCTCCGCAAAGGAGATTCGGTCAGCTCATGTTCGCATTACTGAGATTGGCAAGTTCATGTCGTTTGTGCTTCAATTTATTCCGCATGTGGACAAAGTGATGGCCATTTGGTTGCAAGGTTTTTGTCATCTGATTCTACTGTTCTATTACTCCAGGGGTACTTCGCCAGAGCAACGGCTGCTTGAAAAATTGCAGAAAGCTGGAGTTACACCGTCTGAGTATACATTCACACGGTTTCAGCGTCCTTTTGCAGTTTATTTGAAAGCTCCCGTGTCTTGGAGTACCCGTTCGTCGTTCAAGCAACGAGACCGATGGATGTATGTGGGAAGCACCTCAATCACTATTTCGAAGCGTGAATTCAACCGTCAGTCCAAACTCAAGCAAGTTCTCCGTGAGCAATATGTTCAAGTTGAACCTGCTATTCGCATTTGGGCTTCGCTTGGCAGTTACTTCGACTTCTCTACACTTTGTCTTTCAGTTCATGATGACTACAAACAAGCCTGGGTGCAAGAGCATGTACTCATTGATCGATGGCAGCCCAGATTCAATTCACCGTTCATTGATCGCTTCTTTATAAAGTCAGCATTGGGATTCAAGAGACTCAGGCCAAGTCCCTCTCTTAAGAATGTTTCACTGTTTTCCAGACTTTGGGCAAAAGTTCGAAGACGTGCTGCTTCAACAAGTACTCCGACTCGATGTTTGATGGACAAAAGCCAAGCATGGTCACTTCTGTACGACTTGGCGTCGCTGACCTCGGCATCTTTCTCTGCTGCAAAAATTGTCAGGTCTGCCAAAGTGTCAGTGCTAGAGTTGTACGCGATGTTCAGGATGGCCAAGATCATGGAGCAACCTCTCAGATCTAGGGTGGTGCAGTTGCTCAAATCTGCGTTACAGTTTCGTAACTGCTCCGTACCCAGGCACAGCAAGTCCGTCACTTTACCGTTTCTGTCTCATCCCTCTTTTGCTTCCCATGTCTCCTCGTTTTTGTCTCATACCATTCAGCAGTTTAAAGGCATTTGCATTCCGTTTCACCTTCCCTCCAAGACGCCTAGAGAGTCTGCTCCCCAATCACTGGGCTCTATTCTTCGCAATCACTTTGAGTGGGAGAAGAAGCTTGCTGAGACAACAGTTGATCAACTT